TGGTTGTAAAAACTGAGCTGAACTATGATTCCATTGACTTTGGTCATCAAACCAACGCACTAACAGCCTTGGAGTCGTAAAGGAACATAAAGATGTTCGGACATCGCGATTGTGGAAGGTGATAATTATGAATCGCTTGAGACCGTAGATAAACATTTATGAGGTAATTGTTTTTTTCCAGGATCATACTAATACCAATAATTCAGACTACATAATAAAGTTTCGATTCAACTGATATAACGATAAATTGCAAACGTATTTTTCACGGTTTTCAGGATGTATAATCCAAGGATTTAATCAACCTCATGCAGGCGTATTTGACGAACCTTTCATAACAGAAACTAGTAAATTTGATAAGTAGTATCACGTTTAGATGATCTATAGATTTGAAAGCGTTGCGTAACACAGGCAAAAGTTGTAAAAATTTGATTCACTGCAGCATGCATTAGCAAAGTAGTGAGCTAAAGTTATGGTACTGGTGAGAGATTTGATTGCTCGGCTTAATGTCAAGGACAGCTTTGAGGTAATAATGTCACCCATCACCTGCATCGGGTGACACTCCCCGATCTCCTCCCTCATTCACTTTCGGTTAAAGCAGTGCACTTTCCTACCTCCTTATCAAATTTGGTTGATCTTAACCCGTAGTCAGGTCTGATTCCATGACAAGCACAAAAGACTTCTTCCAATTTCGGTGAATCCATGACGTAATTGCCTAAATGTGCGGTTGCAGCTGAGTGGTTTTCTCAATCGCTCAACACCCTCTATTACTCTGAATTATTATCGTATCTTGTTTACTTCCTGCACACTGAGTTAGTGTAATCTAGTCTTGTCGTTTTGTGTTACAATCGAAGACGGGAGTGGACGGGTGGGTTCTTCAGGGAACGGGTTAATCCGTCTGTGATACTGCCCATCCGTCCGTTGGGTTCGTGCTGGTCACCGTCTAACGGTGGCTGTTTTCTTAGAAAACATAATGAGCCTTAGTTCAGTTTGTACAATTATTAATCACGCATATTCGTGCGCCGGTTTTCATTGCTGTATTCTTGCTGCGCATTTGGATGAAGAATAGAAGAAAGGAAAGTTGAAAGTGGAGTCGAACAGAAAATGGAGAAGTTCAGTGGTCTAAAGTTGCAAAGAAATTGAGGAGATGCACGAACGCCACTGTGTACGACACCCAGCCATATCACTCAGTGTCTCTAACCAGTCAGGGAGCCTAACAGGGCCTATGTGACCCAGTCTCCTGGTTAGTGTTTTCATACCCTCATGCCAGGTCTTAGCTTTACCATCTTTGGCTTTTCTTCACTCGGTATCTACTTCGGCGAACATCGCTCGCCGTGGTAACCTATCTGGTAATATGTGCAACACATGTCCCAGCCAACGTAATCTATGGAGGTCGACCACTTGCTCCAGTGGGCGACCGTATTTACCCAAAACTCTGCCCCNAGAAATTGAGGAGATGCACGAACGCCACTGTGTACGACACCCAGCCATATCACTCAGTGTCTCTAACCAGTCAGGGAGCCTAACAGGGCCTATGTGACCCAGTCTCCTGGTTAGTGTTTTCATACCCTCATGCCAGGTCTTAGCTTTACCATCTTTGGCTTTTCTTCACTCGGTATCTACTTCGGCGAACATCGCTCGCCGTGGTAACCTATCTGGTAATATGTGCAACACATGTCCCAGCCAACGTAATCTATGGAGGTCGACCACTTGCTCCAGTGGGCGACCGTATTTACCCAAAACTCTGCCCCTAACCTCAGTATTGCTCATCCGGCTGCCCCATCAGATTCGTGCAATGCTGCGTAGACAGCGGTGTTCAAACACCGACAGTCTGTCTTTATCTTGTTTTCCTAATGGCCAAGTTTCTGCACCGTATAGCAGAACTGGCCGAACTGTCGCGGCATACACTCGACCCTTCACGGACAGTCGGATGTCGCGACGGCACCATAGATGTCTCAAGTTGGCAAATGCAAATGTAACGAGATCATTTAATGTCTTGAGGTAGAGAGTAAAATCCAGTGAGGAATCACTGCATGAGCCACAATGAAAGATAGTCGATGAATCGATGGGAGGGGAGAGAATAGTGCGAGCAACCGTTATCGATCAATTTCTTTTATGCACCAAGTGCTGGATGGAGAATTATGATGACCTGGACTTCATGGCAGACTAATAGTGTCAGAATTAGACCGCGTAATAAAATGGTGAACTGTAAATAACTCGGCCTCGATACTGGAATATTCCATAATTGTTCAAGATTGGCTTATCGTGTTGGTCGAGATTTTCTATCACATCATCGCTTCCATCGGTGGTTGATAAAAGTGAATCCCATGTTAATCAGATCTTTTCGTTCTTTATGATAACCGCTTATCTAAGTCTGTTTTTGATTTTCTAATTATACAGCTTAGGTTACGTTTTTATTTTTCTCTTTCCTACAGGATACCTATCCTCGGTACCCCCCTATATGGTTCTCCGATTCCGAAGACCCCATCCTTACTCGTATATTCGACCAACTCCGTGTCACAGAACCGGTGAATTTCACGGTCAGTTGTACTCTTTGCATGTGTGGGATTGTTTTTCTGCTGTGAACATGCATATATATATATATATATATATATATATATACANTGTATATATATATATATATATATATATATATATGAACTCGTTTTTTTCATTTTGCTACTAAACTTTGTCTCTTCATTGAGTTTGTTTCCACTTGTTTTTTTACCTTATAGGTAGATCGCCAAGTGAAAATGCTTGTGACCCAGTTGTGTCGATACAAACACATGAACTTTCCTCCGGAATTAGAGAAACTCTGTCCCGATTTTGATCCTCAATTGGTAAGTGATATCGTTTCCCTTGTGTTCCCCCACCCCGGGTAGCCTTGACCTTACCATCATCTCCCGTCGTCCGTATGTATGTCTATTCAGACACACGCACTAACTCGATCACACACAGACTCTTTCGCATACCCTTCATTCAGGCCTCCAACCAACGCATTATTGTTAAAGTAGACCCAAACACCATGGGTTAGAGTTGGAGGGTTATTTACCTTGTTCTTATCTGGTCATAGTAATAATATTTCGTTAGTGAGTTTACAAATCGTTTTTTGCGGCAGGTGGCCGTGGCTATACAAATGCTGTCTGGGTAACGTGTTGCCTAAGTGAAAATTTATCCGTCAGATCAATACTTCAACTAGTCGCACTAGTCCCGTCTAGGAGATAACAGAAAATTTACACTTTTTTATGAATTATTGCCGGCTTTACTTCCATTGAACAGGGCTGTCCACGATAAAGTGTTACGCGTTGCGTTCCTACTAATCCGGTGACTTAAGCATGCGTATTGTTCTTCTCAGTCCTAGCGAAAAACGGGAGAGTTGCTTGAGTGTTCTGGGTAGGAGATAGAACAGAAAACATTCAACAAAAAGACGGGATCAGAAAAATAGGATCATTTACAGTTCGTGTTCAATGGGTGGAAGGCAAAACTGAGGTCGACTAGATGAAAACAGACCCGCTCCGATTTGTACGGGTCCTGGATACTTCAATTTTTCTAGTCCATTTTTAAGCGGAAGGCACATAGAGCTTTCTTTTCCCTAGGTTAACTCTGTCGGCAAGCTCCTCTAGAATCATGCAGTGCTGTTTCGAGCCCCATTATTTGCTTAACCGTAATGTCCCGCCAGCAATATATCCCATCGCTTATTCGCAGATTAAAACAGAACAGATCGTTTTTGTGAATTCCTCACCGTCACACTAATTGTCCTTTCTTGAACTACCTTTATTCGAGATTCCGACTAGTTGAGTATTCCAGCTTCGCTTCGAACGGCCTGCTTATGACCATTGACTTCCGCCACCATACTGCACAACACTTGGACGCAAGAACGCATTCCTTCATCTGTAACTGAAGCTCCGTGGGAAGTAGCATGCGACTCTCCAATAGAAGCACAACCTCGGCCTTCCATTCAAGCTCTGAAGTGAGGTAAGGCAGCAGAACCACTTTTCAAAACGCGGGGGGGGGGCGATAACCTCAAGATCTATTACTACCTTACTGCGCAAAATTTGAACACAAGAGCGTATTCATTCCTCTTGGGGCGAATCCGTGATCGTTCCCATTTTCAAAAAAGGATCTCGCAACGATTTCACAAACCACGGCGAGATAAGTTTGCTCCGGATCGTCACCAAAGTACTAGCCTTGGTCATACTTCGACGTTTGACTCATTTAAGAGAGATCAACATCCGTGAACAGCAAGCCGGATTCCGCTCTGGCTCCGTGGATGTATTGATCAAATCTTTACGTCGCACCAGGTCCTTGAGCTGCATCACACTCATGTTCGACCAACGGTCGCAGTGTTCCTCGATCTGAAAGGAGCCTTCGACTCAGTTGACCGCGAAGCTCTGATAGTTTCCCTTCGAAAAGGAATGCCCCATAATCACATTAACTTACTGAGGTCATTGTACTCGCATATCTCTGTTCGAGTGAGGGTTTACAACGAGCTAAGTAAACCGTTCGTCACCAGCAGGGGTGTTCGTCAATGTTGCTCTTTCACTATTGCTGTTTATTTTCGTCGTAGACGAAATACTGGAGGACGCACTAAATAGTCTCCAAATGTAGGTATGGAATGGGCACTTAGATACAAGCTGTGCTATTTGGAGTACACCGATGACACCGTCTATCTGTTCGAATGTTTGGAGGACGCGCGAAATGCACTTGGTAGAGTAGCAAGTGTTGTTGCCACATTCAGTATGTGCTTTGCACCTTGAAAGTGCAAAGTGATGCTGCAGGATTGGGTGTCGCCTACTCCCGCTCTGAAACTAAATGGCCAGGATTTAGTTATGGTGGATTACTTTTCCTACTTAGGCAGCTGCGTGACCAATGTGGGTCGCGCAGGAAAGGAGATAACTGCCCACATTTCCAAGGCTCAAGCAGCATACGCAGGATTGAAACACCTTTGGCGTAGACGCGAGGTTTCACTGAAGTTGAAAGGTCGTGTATATTGTACTACCGTTCGTTCAGTTTTGCTCTATCATTGTGAGACCTTGAATTTGCGAGTAGAAGATATCCATCGCCTAGAAGTTTTCGATTGTCGGTGTTTTCGTGGTTTAGCCTACATGGGATGTAGCAAACGGGTTAGTAATCTGGAGGTAAGCCGTCATATATTTGGGAGTCTTTCACGGATACAGAAGTTGAACCGAAACCAGGATAGTATAGTTAGGATAAGGAAGTAACAACAACAACAACAACTTCCATCTAAAACGATCTCTTGAGTTCCTAATCGGCCTTATGTCCATTTTCCTCACTAATGTATATCGCGCGATAGTATTGACCAGGTGCAGTTCCCCTCCGTAAAATAAACTACTTTTTCACAAACTAAATACGAAGGAAGACGACCATTATTTTTGTTATTTTCAGGTCTTTGATAAATTGTGCTTGCTCCAAAGGGATCAAATGAGGTCCTGCAATATTTAGGTGTATGGCGAACGTGAGCTTTGTATTGTGCACAGATACAGGAACGCGTATGGTATAGAAGAGAAAAGACAGACACGAATAAAAAATCACTGCTTGGGAAGCGATTCAAACTACAGAAATATGGACCAAAGGAAGGCACCGCATTAACTGGAACTGATGGTTGATAGTATCGAGGTTAAAAATGTAGAAGCGGTAGGAGCGAATGGGTAGTGAATAAAGGTAGAAATACTAGCGTGAAAATGATGAAATTGAGAAAAGCCGGTAATTTTTAAAATTTAAACTTGATGATGTTCTCGATTGAAAAAAGTGCGATTCGGACAAAAGTACATGAAAAACAGAAAGTTGAGTGAAGAAATTCAAGCTGCGTTTCTGGCAGCAAATGTTGGAATAGCTTGTGAAAATTTGTAAATAATGGTGTGTGAGACGAAAACCGTCGATCTAATCCTAGGACTCAAATCGACGAACCACAAAACCCCAACATGGAAAGCGTGATTGCTGAATAACTATGGAGCATGTTCCTCCTTACATTGAACCTTCTCATTTTAAAATCCAAATCTTCAGACTGGTTTTACTTTGAATGTCATTCTCCTCACACACACATGTATAGTTTATCTCCGAACTATGAATGTGAACTCTGGTTTCATTCACACGTGCAGTTAAACAAACGGCAAAGCGTCCTCATAACAATGACTGAGACTGCACTGTTGCTCTTCCGGTGCTATTGGTCATAGTAAACATCACCGGAGACACTTAATCTTTCATTTCTAATCGATTTTTTGCGACTGACCATTTCTCGTTGTTTACAGCTAGTCCACTTAGACCTTGCACACATCACACGTCATCTTCCATTACTCATCCATATTCCGCCTGTCTAGCCCTCGCCCGATTCAATTATCCCATCAGAATCCGCACCTCAATCCTCGGACCCCGGTAGCGACCCTGACGATACTGGGTTTGAAGATGAAGATGTCCCTTTAAATGATCCGTTTGATGACTCGTAAGTTGCATCTTCACACTGCGGAAGCATGCAGTGTCAGTGTGCGTTATATATGCTCCCGGGAGAATTTCGTCGAGTCATTATATGTTCTATATACATGCTACTTATTGTAATATATATATATATATATATATATATATATATATATATATATAATCACATTATCTTGCCAATCCGGTGCACGGGAACTTCACTCCGATGTACTCTGTCCTATTACTGTTTTGAAACGAACCATTAATCTGCCAACTGCTTTTTTTTTGGGGGGGGCTGCTTATTGGACAATTTACTGGATAAAGGACACCACGCTCCTGAAACAACGCATAGTGCGATCTTTTGCGGTGCAGATCAGCTGAGCCGTCCAAGCTAGTACTGTTTGTGGTATACCAGGAGCAAAAGATACAGTTACCATGAGTCAGCAATCCGCGAGAAACTATACGTGTCGTTTCACTTGAAACCACTCTTATCCACGCCCTTAAAGATACAAACGACATGTTCTGCTTCGTCGCCGCTGCAGCGTGCCAAACAATGAGGAGCATAGTGGTTGCCAGCTACAACGTTCCATCCCTTCAGTTCTGTCCTACCAATTAATTGTATTCACGTAATAAATCTATCCTGATTAATTCTTTTGCCATTGGGCATGTGAATGTGTGAGCATCACATATTCGGAAATGTTGAAACTACCGAGTGTGATTGACAACTAAGCCTTCTCCAATTCCCTTGCTACAGCGTCTCCTCTGATGATCGATCCGAGTATGATGGGATCTCCTCGCAAGATGCCGAGAGATTGGAAAAACTCAAAGCCAATCAACTGCAGCTTTGCGCAGAGGTATGTACGTATCGTGTTTTTTGTCTCCCTCTCACCTTTTCCGATTCTGATCTAATCCTCAATATAGTCATATCGCTATCCATGTAACTCGCATACCCACAGTCCTGTGTTATTTCTTCTAATAATGCGCTTCATCAACTAGTTGGCCCCAATGTTGTGTCATTCTATATGGCACGGATTCGTCTGATTTCATCCGAATTAGTTCGACATAGATGAGTCCCTCAATGGGGACACATAGACTCAAGCTTTATTCACAACGATAAGTCAATTACGAATGAAGGATCAATCGCTATTTACCATTTCCATCCCCCCTCGATCGTGTCCTCAACACATTGGGAATCGTGAACTCTCATTTGCCCATAACGACTATAAACGGACTAATGGTAATACAGCTCACTGACAATACGCGTTCGAAGTCCTCTACTACGAAAACCACCACAGCGACTGCACCGGTGTAGGTGGACAGTGATATCTTCAATGCCAGTGACTCCTGTTCGAACGCAAAGTTGTACATGTATTCGATCACCGATGTCTCGGAAGCATTGCTCGTGCCTGGTGGGAACATCGTGTGAGTAATGACAAGGTTCGTCGTCGTTTGCTGGTGCGGATAGTCGTTCTCTAACAGAAGTAATCGCTCTACACCGTCTCCGATGGCTTGGTCACCTATTGCGTATGCCTGCCTATCGACTACATTTCCGTGCTCTCTCCGCTCGTGTCGGGCAAGGCTGAAAGTTGCGCCGCGCCGGT